TAGGGAGTCTGCTAGACAACGGGGTGGTCAGTATACTAGCAAAATCCCCAAATTATCCTTGGTCTGCAGGCTTAGGTACATGCACTTGAAGTGGACTGTGTTCCGGACAGGCATCCTGGTCAAGATCAAGTTGTTCTTATGAACCAGAGCCACTTTCTTAAACTAGCAGGATTGTAGCAGGACAGCAGGCTGGTGTGATAATCTCTTTATTCTTCATGATTGCTAAGGAACAAATGCATCTTGGTGTGCTACATCATCTTTTTTTAATGTGAAAGACAGGTAGCTAACAAGTAAAGCAAGTAGTGAAGCAGAAATGGTGTGACGTTCTATAAAATCCTCCAGAATTAACCTGTGTGTCTGTGGGTGGATGTATAAATAATGACATCATTAATAACTATTTGCTGAAAAATAATTTTCCACATGAGTCCAGTTTGCCTCTCAGTATATCTTTTTAGGATTGCCATGCAAATGTATAAAGTAAAATCCTCCACAATCTATCCAGTTCTGAAATAACATCCTGCATTCATCTGACATGTTTAAACAACTTTCTTTGAGCTAAAAGTGGATTTACAAAACAGAAATGCAGTTCACAGGATTGTGTTTTTCTTTTTCACATCAGATATGTCTGAGTAAAATATTTGCACGTTTATGGGTCAATGGGAAGAGCAGAGCTAGGCTTGCAAAGAAGGAAGAAACAGAAATAGATATTTTTAAGGAGTAACTGGAAGAAAGACTGGGGCCAAGAAGGTTTATGGGAAAGAATATGGTATTTCTGTGCAGACTATAGCTCTAACTGCAGTAAGTATGCTCAGTGTCAAGGCAAATATCTGGAGGAGAAAACACAAATGCTATAGGTCTACAGCAAACACATTAAGCATTTATTATGTCTGTTTTTTTGTTTTGTTTTTTAAGCCACAGAAACATGCAGGGAAGCCTTGTTTCAACCAGGCCTGCTAGATATGTGTACTTAGGAGCTGCAAGATGTATCTGTCTATTAGGCATGGAAAGAAACAGGTTTCCCAACAGTTGAGTAACTGCATCAGGAAAAACAATAGACCAGAGAGAATTCTGCATAATAGTCAGTGTGCCAAAGTGTTGTGGAACAATTATTCCATGCAGGGGTGTGTGTGAGTGTTTTTTTTTGTTCACAAGCTAAAAGAAAAATCCCCATGTGATTTCTCCACAGAATAATACCTCCACAACACTTTGGAACATTCAAAATGGGGAAAAATATTTGTTTTTTCCTGAAGCAGGGAGGAAACAACTATAATTATTCCTTCTTTGTACAGAAAGATGAAATAATCGAAGATTTACATCCTTACTATCTGGATACAAAAAAAGTTAACTTAAATTGCCAAGAGCAGAGAAGGAGATTCATGTCAAAGTGAAACTATCATTAATGTAAGAAAAGCCCTCCAAATTCAAGGCTTATTCACACTTACTTTTTTGTAACAAAGAGATTTACATCTCTGCACCAATTCAGAATTGATTTGGTGTTCCCACTACATTTTTCACTATAGAATCTCTCTGGGGCATTTAAACTTGATTGCCATTCCCACTTGCCACCATTTTGGATCAAAATTTAGGCGCCTCCATTTCCAGAATGGTGGCAGCACGATCCAAATCAATCCAATGGCTTAATCACACTATCAGAGATATGGATCGCTGTGGTTCTTTAAAAAAGAACCAGTAAGGGACCCAGTGTCAAATGCACTGGTTTAAGTGGGCTTTTCAGTTGCTCCTCCTCCCCCCCAAACTGCACCAAGTGCAGTCAGAGCGAGTGTGAACTTCATGAAAATAAACCAGTTCCTCACGGGTTTATTTCCGTAGTGTGAATGGGGCCTCAGATTATTTAAACTGACATCTTGTTTCCCACAAAGCAGACAAACAGAAGCCTCTGGGGAACCCACAAGCAGGACTTTGGCCAAACTTGGAGACAAATAAAAAAGTAAGTGAGATAGAGCAAGTGAGTTTTCCCTGCATTTTTCACATCTGCATTTTTTAGAACAGACTCATAGCAAACATGTTTTTCTGAGGAGTCTGCCACAAAGCTACCCTGAAAACTCTGGAAATGATATTAAATCTCTCCAGCAAATAAACTGTCCAGTCTGCAAAGCATCCTTTTGCAAAAGTGGAAATTAATCCACAATCTGCTTAAGTATCATCTCCTTAGTCGAATACTGGTTCCTGTCACTAAAAGGCACACAGCTCATCAGTGGAAGGAAAGCTTGGTAAAATCCATGAAAGAAGAGATGACAGAGAGGCTTATGGCTGATGAGGGACACAGGGGTCACTTGGTTGCCTAGGTATGTTGCAGTGTTTGGCTGTAGTGGTACGTTAACCCTTTCTCAGATCCCTGCCTAATAAACACTCCAGTTATTTCATGTAGGATTTTTTAAATATTTCCCAAAATGACATATTTGGATCACTGCATAACCTCGTGGCACCCCAAAGGCTCAAAACTGGGTGTGTATGTGTGCAACCAGAAATGACCAATCACTTCCAGTTTCATCAAAATGGTGGCAATGTGGCCTATGAGGGTCTGGATCCTCCACAGCTGTCCATCCCTCATGTAGCACATTATTTACAATGCAGTGATATTGCTACACTTTGTGAGAAAGGGTATATCATGTTATGATATATTGCCAATATTCTGTATTGGCTATGTTATGTATGTGTAATGAAGTAATGTCTGTCCTCCCTCTTGTCTACCTTAAGAGCAGCAGCCTGATCCGGTGAAGGAGGACCCATTCAATTTCTGATCAGGGTTCAAAGAAGGTGATGTTTACACACACACACACACACACACACACAGTCAGCAAGCAAGACTGCAACAAGGATTTGTGACATGTATCCTGCTTCTGACTCCATGACACATAAAGAAAAAAATATTATTGGTCCCACACTTCAAATAACCTAAGAATCACGGCTTAAGGAGAGAGCTTTGCATTGTGTTAATATTTTCTCCCATTCTAACCCTTCTCCACACTCCCCTTGCTTTAAGAATGTGCTAGTTCTTGTGTAAATGTATTATTTGTCTCAGTCCATACAGTTCCAACTTGCTAGCTAAGAGTTGAACCAATCTTTTTAATTGCTGTTCTGGACATAGGAAGAGCATTATGCCCTGGGTAGGGGAAAAAGCGAAGGTGGAAGAAACAGTGCAGATAGACTTCTGTTTCTTTAACACATCCCTGAGCCAGTATATCCTTTCATCTTGGCAAAGGTCTAGGAAAATGGGGCCGAACATCAACAAAACTCCCGTTAATTAATGGTAAATGACACCTTAAGAAAGCATTTGATACAGCACCATCTGCTCAAAGCTTCAGCAGATCTGGAGCTGGAGAGCAGTGCAACAGAAATGTCACCGAGTAAGCTGAAGGTCTCCCATAGCAGCAGCATGAACCAGGTGCTCTTTAATCTGGAAAAAGGGGGGCATCTTTGCAGAAGAT